GTGCTACCAGAGCTCCCTTAGTATACCATACTTTGTTGATAAAGTCCTTTGATGAACAAAACATTACTGAAAGAAATTAAAGATAATATTAGTAAATAGAAGGACATTCAGTGCTCATGGATTGGAAGAATTAGTATTGTTAAGAACTCAATACTACCTAAAGCAATCTATAGATGCAACACGATGCCCATGAAAATTCCAACAATCTTTTCAGAAAAGAAAAAGCCAATACTCAAGTTTATATGGAACTTCAAAGGGCCCCAAATAGCCAAAGCAATCTTGAAAATGAGCTAAGTAGGAAGACTCACAATTCCTGATTAAAAACATATTATAAAGTGACAGTAATAAAAACAGTCTGTTACTGTGTCTTAGCGTAGGTTCTCTAGAGAATCAAAACCAGTAAAGCATATGGAGAGAAAGAGATGAGAGAGATATTTATCTCAGGGAAATGGCTCACACAGTTGTAGAGGCTGGCAAGTCCCTAGTATGTGGGTCAAAGGTAAAGCTCCTGGCTCATGCCACTGCAGGGGCTGACGAACCCAAGATCTCAGCAAGCAGTGTAGCAGCAGGCTGCTGACTTCAGTGGATCATGAATCCAAGATCAGCAGGTAAAATGGCGGATTGTCAACTCACAGGCTGCAAAGGCAAAAATTTCAAAATCAGTGGGTAATACAGCAGGATCCAGATCCAACAGAAAGTTCCAGAATTTTCCCAGGAAGTTCACATGTATATATTGAAGCAGGCTACACCTCTAGGAAACTCCCTTCTACTTAAAGCATCTGCCACCATGGAAGTGATTACCTTACATCAGATCTCATCATAGGAACAACTACTCAGAATTATGGTCCACCAAGTTGACACAACCTTAACTATCACAATGATAGACTGATGGGAAGAGAATTGAAAGTCCATAAATAAAACCACACATTTATGATAAACTGATTTGTGACAAGGCTGCTAAGGTCACACAGTAGGGAAAGAATAGTCTCTTTAATAAATGGTGCTGAGGCAACTGGATTTCCTCAAGCAAAAGAATTAGTGTGAACTCATACCTCACATATATACAAAATCTAACTCATACTGGATCAATGACATAAATGTAAGATCTGAAACCATAAAACTCTCAGAAAAAAAAACATAGGACTAATGCTCTGAGGGGAGCTCTGGTAGCATAGTGCCTAAAGCACTTGACTGCTAAACAGAGAGCTGGCAGTTCAAACCCACCAGCCACTCCTCAGAAGGAAGGTTGGGCAATCTACTTCTGTACTGATACTGCCTCGGAAACCCAAGGAGGGGTCGCTATGAGTCGGGGCCGACTCAATGGCACATAACAACAACAACAATGCTTTGAGATCTAGTTTTCAAAAATTGTTTCTTAGATATGACACTGAAAGCATGAACAATAAAAGACAAAAATAGATAAAAGAGACCTTAAATGAAAAATGTTTATCTTCCTTGTATTTTTAACTTCCCTCACATAACCCATTTTAGTAACACAATGTTGAGTCTATTACAGTTACTGTATTTCATTTTGACTGATTACTCTGTACCTCTTTCTCTCAATGTGGCAAGTTACCAATCAATAAGTTGTATTTTTAAAGAAAATGCTAATGCTACAAAATAAGTGCACAGTACTTTTCACGTGTCTTTTAAATATTTTGGCAGGTTTATAATGTGAAAAAGGAGGCCTGGTGGAACAGCGGTTAAAGCGCTCTAGCTGCTAACCAAAAGGTCGGAGGTTCAAACCCACCAGCCACTCCATGAGAGAAAGATGTGGCAGTCCATTCCCATAAAAGATTTACAGGCTTGGAAAGCCTGTGGGACAGATTGATGCAACAGTAAGGGGTTTTTTCTTTGGTATAATGTGAAAAATGCAGCATCTAGTTTGTATTTGATGAGTTCACTCACAAGGAGTTAGTTCATTTAGCTTTAATTTTTATTTAGTGTGAAATAAAATTAGAGATGGTAAAAATTGCTAGATGAGACTATACCAACCCAGAAAAAAGAGGTAGGGATCAAGGAGCACATTAAAATAAATCCTGACCTGTCTTGATGTCAAATTCTAAATATTGTTCTACCCATAAAACCACAGAGGTTTAAACTTAATGCCCGAGTGATAGCAGCCTTAGTGAAATAAAAGTGTTCCTCAACCCAAAAGAATCTAGGCTCCTGCTTAGCTGATGTGGAGATAATTATTTATAATAGCACTTACCGGTAAAGAGGAAGGAGTGAAACCTTAGATACTTAGACGTGACTAAGGCTGGTTTTATTTCTGAATCTAAAGCACTGATATGGAGGTGGATGCGGTGACTCAGAGCATTGTGATGGTCCAGCTGTCCATGGGGCATACCTCTCCACTGTGCAGTCATACACCATCATGCAAAAGTGGAGAAATCCTGATTAGAGGGTCATCTTATATAATTACTTAAATGATACAACTTAAGCTCTAGCCAAGAGAGGAAGATTTAGAGTATTTATCTTCAATAACTAAGTTTGAAGTCAATTTTTTATAGATTCTTAGAGTACATCTGAAATGGTACACTGGGTCTGATTTAATGGCAATTCAATCGAGTTTTTTTGTTTGTTTGTTTCTGATAATAATAAATAATAATAAAAACACATTGTCATTGAGTCAATTTCAACTCATGGATACATAGGGTTTTCTCGGCTGTAATCTTAACAGAAGCAAATTGCCAAGCCATTCTTTCACAGTCCCACAGGAAAGGTTTGAACCACCAACCTTTAGGTTAATAGTTGATTGCAAACCATTTGCTCTACCCCAGGTCTATTTTAATAAATAAATAAATACCAAGGTCTATTTTCAGAAACAACAAAGAACACAACGCACTGCCATCTAGTCAGATCAGACTCATCGCGACCCCTCCTTGGGTTTCCAAAGCGGTATCACTATGGAAGTAGATTGCCCAACCTTCCTTCTGAGGAGCGGCTGGTGGGTTTGAACCGCCAGCCTTCTGGTTAGGAGTCAAGTTCCTTAGGCACTACACCACCAGAGCTCCATATTTTCAGAAAGAGCTTGGTAATTTCTTTCTAATATACTGACCTAATTTATTTTTCTGGGAGTCAGTCAATCGATGGAAAAGAAGAAGCCTGCTTTAGTGGACATATTGAATAAGGCATGTGACTGCTAACAAGAAGGCTGGTAGTTCAAACCCACTGGCCACTCCTCGGAAGCAAGGTTGGGCAATCTACTGCTATAGTGATACGGCCTGGGAAACCCAAGGAGGGGTCTCTATGAGTCGGATCTGACTGGACAGCATTGTATTGCATTGCACTGTATTGCGTTGTAGCTCTTGTCTCAGGAATCTTTCATGTAAATAAGTCCAGCAGATAACATACACAGCAGAAATAAAATAATAATTTTGAAATACACAGCAAAAAATGCATACAATGAAGCAGATAAGCATACTATACTTACAGACATGACCAATCAATAATATGCTTCTTTATTCCAAGAAAAGCCATTTTGATTTTCTGACGAGATACGTCAGTTTTTGTCAATATCTTTTTTTTTTTTTGGAAACATTTCAGAAGAATTGGGAAGCAGTATAACAATTATCAAGAAGCCCTGGTCAGTCAGTGGTCAAAGTGCTTTAGCTGCTAACCAAAAGTTTGGGAGAAAAATGTGGCAATCTGCTTTTGTAACAATCGCAACATAGGAAACATGGGGCTGTTCTATCCTGGCCTGTTAGGGTCACTATGAGTCAGATGACAATATGTTTGTTTGTTTTTAATGACAATTGATGGGCTCCAAACCTGGTCATGTAAACACATAAATAATCTCCCTGTATAATTTGCTATTTCATATTTTGGCATTCTAAGCTTAAATGCTATAATGTCACTGCTCTACATTATTTTTCTTAATAATTTACTCTATTTGTCTTTTAAAATATACCTTATCTAAGTCAATGGGAGCCCTCTGCTGGCATAGTGCCTAAGGCATTTGACTACTAACCAGAAGGCTGGTGGTTCAAACCCACCAGTCACTCCTCAGAAGGAAGATGGGGCAATCTACTTCCATAGAGATACTGCCTCGGAAACCCAAGGAGGGGTCTCTATGAGTCGAATTGACTTGATGGCAGTGAGGTTTTTTTTTAAGTTGTCAATATGAACAGTTGCATTTTATTCATGAAATAAATTAGAGTGAGGTTAACCAATATTGCAGGCCAAAAAATATATTGTTTTGCTTGGTTTTGGACAGTCAGAATGAAACACTTGTGTTTACTTGATATTTCTTCAAGATGTGCCACCTCATCCTGAAAGTCTTTTCTGACACTTCCTCACCAAGATTAAGCTTTTCTTTTTTGTGCTCCCATGCTACTCTGTCCTTGCTTGTATTGTAGTTGCCTGATTTCTTGCCCATTTCCATCTCTAAAATGAGATCCTGTTGCAGGGACTGTTAAATTCGTCTTGGCATCATCAGCATCTAGATAAGTGGTTGACACAGGAGGTGCTTAAAAAGTGCTCACTGGATGAATGAACCATCTAAAATTGTTACTCTGTGACTTCTCAGTTTAACCAGGTGTAGGTAAAATAATTTATTTCTAACAATAGTGAAAGCAACATAATTGGTTAATTTCATGAGTAGTCATTAAGATGATCAAGCACATTGACTAATTGGTTGTCTAGCTCATGGTCCATAAATAGTACCATTTTAAAAGCATAGACTGATTAACTTAATTTTACCCTGATATTATGAATATCATTTGCATTAACCACAGAGACTCCTTGCACAGAGTTTTCAAATTAAATACCAAAAAAAAAAAAAAGAAAAAGAAATAGTTTGGATATAAATTTCAATATCTGGATTTTGAAATCCAGAGCAAAGAGGTAGGGTGTTATTTTATATTGAGAATGGAAAGTCAGGAGTCTTGTGAATGGGCCACGTGATACAATTGCTTCCATGGAATATTGTCAGACCAATAGGAGTTTGCAAAGAGCTTTTATGGATCGTATAAATATTTTGAGCTGTAGGCATCATTACCAGCTGATATTTTCTTTCCTAAGGACCAGCTGTTCAGGAGCAACCCGGACGAGAGCCAGGCACATTTGAGACTTGGATCTAACTAAAGACCGCCACACATTCCTGTGCAGCAATGTCGGTGTTAGAAGAAACCCGGCCATTTGCTCAACAGCTTTCCAATGTCTACTTTACAATACTTTCACTTTTCTGTTTTAAACTTTTTGTGAAAATCAGCCTTGCCATCCTTAGTCATTTCTATATTGTCAAGGGCAACCGCAAAGAAGCAGCACGGATAGCAGCTGAATTTTATGGAGTAACCCAAGGACAAGGTATGTTTATGATAATATGCTCTTGTTTCAAATTGAATTTAACTACTGATCCAGAATTCATGAAAACATAGTATGTTTCTTTATGGATTGCTTCAAAGTAGTTATTTTGTAATCTCATTAGAGAGATTATTTGTCAACTCACTTCATGAATTCATGAAAGTTACTTTGCTGAGTAAATGTGTGTGTTAATAAAATCAAGATCAAAGTATCATTGCAAAACAAATTTATGGAAATAAACTACCAAATACATATTAATCTAAAAATAAACATTAAAAACTTGGCATTTTATTTGCCACACTGTAGATTTAGAAGTTAATAACTGATAGCAGTTCAATTATCCTTTAGCATGCACAAAATTTAATGATTTATTTATTTAAGGATTATTATTTAATCAGTATTAAACAGAGAATTTGAAGATTTTATTTGCTTTTATAACTTTTTATTTCACTAAGATTGTTGTGTTGTTGTTATGTGCCTTCAAGTTGGACCTGACTCATAGCGACCCCTCCTTGGGTTTCTGAGGCAATATCGTTATGGAAGTAGATTGTCCAGCCTTCCTTCCAAAGAGTGGCTGGTGGGTTTGAACTGCCAGCCTTCTGGTTAGCAGTCAAGTGCCTTAGGCACTATGCTAACAGAGCTCTTTCACTAAGATTAGCCATTTAATTATAAAATTAATTGTCATCTGTCAAAAATTCACATTTATGATGGGTTTTCCTGATGTAATGGTTATTACTCAATTAGTAAAAAATTAATTATAAGAGATTAATTATAAAAAAAAATTAATTACAAGATTCGTTGTTGTTGTTAGTTGTTGGGTGCTGTTGAGTCAGTTTCTACTTATAGTACCACAGAACAAAGACACTGCCTGATCCTGTGCCATCCTCACAATCCTTGCTATGTTTGAGCCCATCACTGCAGCTACTGTGTCAATCCGCCTCCTTGAGGGTCTTCCTCTTTTTCATTGACCATTTACTTTACCAAGCGTGATGTCCTTCTCTAAGGACTGGTCCCTCCTGATAATATGTCCAAGTACATGAGACAAAGTCTCCCCATCCTCGTATCCTAGGAACATTCTAGCTGTACTTCTTCCAAGACAGATTTGTTAAGAGGATAGGAATGTGAATCAACAAACTTTACAAATGTGCAATGAAGTCCTTTTGTGTTCTTTAGAAAAAAAATAGCATGTGAGATCAGGTGAGAAACAATCATTTTAACCATAGACTTTAAAGATTATAAAACTGTTTACCTTTTATTAGATCAATAACATACTTAATAAAAATAATTCATTTGGTGGATTTCTAGAACATTTTAATTTCTTACTGTCTTTTGACTAATTTCTGGTTTTAAAACTGGAAATCATGTGCATACATTTTGGAGCCCCAAATACTTCTAAAGGAACCTAAATCTTCAGAATTAAAATACATGATCACACAATGAGAAAATGTAGATTAAAAAACTAGCACTTAGAGTAGAAAGTTTCCTTTCTTAAAATCTGGCTTTTTTTTTTTCTCCCCCCTTAATATTTTTCACTCTGCGGCATGATTTATTTTACTTACTTTACAGGGTTACTTTGGAGGTGCATGGATTGTTGAGTGAAAGTGAAATATCTCTTTTGATGAGTGAGGTAGATAATGAGAATATTTTTCCTGAGGAAAATTGTTCTTATGCAAAGTGAGAAATTTATTTACCTACTCAAAGTGAAGAAAATCTTAATGTCGACATGGAACTGTCACAGGGAGGATGAGATCTTGAGGAAATAGGCAGTATTTAGTTCTTCAGTCACTTGCTTTGCTTCAAAACAGATATAACCCACTGCAGTCAAGTCAATTCAGGCTCATAGCGACCCTATAGAACAGAGTAGAATTGCCCTACAAGGTTTCCAAGACTGTTTCATGGAAGTAGACTGCCGCATTTTTCTCCTGCAGAGCAGCTGGAGGGCACAAACCACTGACCTTTAACCACTGTGCCATCAGGCTTCCTTTCAGAACAGATAACAACTGCATCTAAATGTGACACACCATTGTTGTTGCTGTGGTTAATTGCCACTGAGCCGCCTCTCACTCACGGTGACCTTATGTGTAACAGAACAAAATATTGCCAGGTCCTGTGCCAGCCTCACAATTGTTGGTATGTTTGAGCCCAATTGTTGCAACAACTGTGTTAATTTATCTCATGGAAGGTTGCCTTCATTTTCTCCGATCCTCAACTTCATCAACCATAATGTCCTTTTCTAAAAGATTGGTCTTTTCTAATGACATACAATTAAGTGATACAACTGAAAATAAAAAATTCAGTGGGCAAATGATATGTTTTATTTCTAGAACACAAATATACAGGCATTTGATTTTAAAACAAAAGCCATATTTGTATTTATAAGAGAAGGTGGGGCATTCCTACTTCCGTAGTGATACTGCCTCGGAAACCCAAGGAGGGGTCGCTATGAGTCAGGGCGACTTGATGGCAAATAACAACAACAACAAACAGATTATATGATCCTAGGTAATAAAACTTACTCTCATGAGCAGCTTTAGCTCATTACCTCTTAGGTAAATCTTGCCTATGTTTATGAGAATTGCCTTACATAAATATGTAAAATATTGGCTAAAAAGAAGGAAACAGTTTCTGTGAATTAGCAAAGGTTTTAGAGGCTGTTATGGAGGTTCCTTTTTGTACCTATTTACATAGAGAAAGAAAACATTTGTCCTGTCTTTAGAATGATCTTAATATGCTACTGCTGGGAATTAACAGGAATATAGGAAATGACCTCCTTGTTCTCATCTGTTTTTATCAGTGTCTTTAGCTATGTTAGAACTCCTGGATTGATCACAATAAGAAAGAAAAAAAGAAATCAACACTCTTAATAGAAAACGTTTTTCCTTGGAATATAAAATGAGAACATGTTTTAAACTATCTTGTATTGTTTTTACTGTTAGATCAATTTAACAAAATTCTCCTTCTAGTATCTTGAATTGATCTATATATTAAATAATACAATAATATAGTAATATATATAAAAATAATATATTGTTATTATTATTTAGTGTAAACATAATCATTGTTCAATTTTATTATCATTACGAGAAAAATCATGCACCTTACAAATTCTTTCTTTTTCTCCTCCCTGTAAGAGTTCATTCTTCTTTGCCCAGGAAATTATTACTTTCTCCATTTTAATATAGCCTTTTCTTTCTTTCTTTTTTGTCCCCTATAATCCAATTATTTTTATTTTTTTATATGTTGATAATTAACTAATCAGATTTAATTATCTTTGTTTAACCCCACAATTTCCTCCTTCCTAGGGAAGATTATCACCTCCATTCTCCTTTCAGTTAGGTTTCTCATTCCTGCTTTCAAAACCTATCCATATTGTTCCCCTGACATTTCTGATGCAGAGTTGCCAAATTCCATGAAATATGAGATGATGGGTGTATTTTCATATCTTTCATAATCACAGAAGACACCGTTGACGGTATTCTGGTTGTCTTCCGTATGGGGGCAGGAATATTTGGTATTTTGTTATGGAATAAAAGAAGCTATTAATCTTGCTGGATACCTAGCAAATGAGCTCATTCTATCAGATAAATTACGGCAATTTTTTAAAGCACTTTCCAGTCAGATTTGAGACAAGGTACAATTACACAGAAAGAATATTGAAAAGCTAAATGGTAGCTAACATGTTGTTGTTGTTATTATGTGTTGTACCCTACGCATAGTGACTCCTCCTTGGGTTTCCCAGGTGGTATCACTATGGAAGTAGACTGCCCAACTGTCCTTCCGAGGAGTGGCTGGTGGGTTTGAACCGCCAGCCTTCTGGTTAGCATAGTTTATGGTAATTTCCTTCTTGATCCCTTTGCTATTCCAAGAAATTTTAAGAATTTACCTTTATATCTTTGGTACTGAAGACTATCAACTGCACCATTACACTGAAAGGACCTATACTTTTTTTTAACCTGTGTGTCTAGTTTCTGTATAGTTCTTGTTAAATGTCCTGATTACAATATTCATCAGCGATCTACGCTATTTTTGGAATTCCCGGGTGGTGTAAAAGAGTTAATGCACTAGGCTGCTGAGTCCACCCAGAGGCACCTTTGATGAAAGACCTGGTGATCTGCTTTGGAAAAATCAGGCACTGAGAAGCTTTTGGAGTGCAGTTCCACTTGGACACCCATAGGGTCACCAGGAATCAGAATCCACTTGATAACAAGTGAATAATTTACTTTTAAAGCCAGTAGTATTCTTTGAGGCCAACAGTGAGGCTAAGAAAAAAAAAAAAAAAAAAACTCACAGCCCTGGAGTCTATTGCGACAGATAGCAACCCCTCCTTGGATTTCCGAGGCAGTATCTCTATGGAAGTAGATTGCCCAACCTTCCTTCCAAGGAGTGGCTGGTGGGTTTGAACCGCCAGTCTTCTGGTTAGCAGTCAAACACCTAGGCACTATGCCGCTGGAGCACCTAGTGAGGCTAATAGGACTTTTTTTCAACTGTCATATTAAATAGTGCAGAGAGCAAGTGAGGATTTGAGGGAATAAACTGCTCCAAGGACTAGAAGAAACCATGAACTTCTAATACCCAAGAACACTTCAAAAGGAAGCTCCTCTCTTCTGTTAAGAACAGCACATTTAATATTCTGTCTTAGGCTCTGAAGAAACTTCAACAGTTTTACCTGTAAGTAGGAAGGGCAACTCTAAACATATATTTTTTGAGCACCCTGGTAACAAGACACTGAAGATGTACTTTGCAAAAAGTAAAGTATATTGTTCCCAACCTTAAGTAGTTTATATTCTAATTGAGGAAACAGGGCATGCACATATTAGAAGTATTAAGTGCCAAATGAGTTTAAAGAATGGAAGGATCATCTTAGAGTTTGAGCTTTCAGAGACTTCTTTGTGAAGGAAGATGATCTTGGGTTGACCCCAGGAATTAACAGAGACATGGATGTAGGAATGTGCACAGGATATTGGGACATTATATATTTGGAGGGTCCATGTAGAGGAAAAATT